TCTTCCAACAAGGAAAGTGAGACATGTCAAGCTTGCTTCAAAGTGTCAGCTCTGTGCAAGTTGCTGAACCAACAGATGACATACAAGCATTTCTTTTTCATCTCTCGCTTCTCAATGTCCTTTTCAGTAATGGAGTTTCTTGGTCATGGACACCAAGAACTTTACTGAAAATGAAATGGTGCTTTAGCCCTCCCGTACTCTCAGCCCAGGGCTGTGCCTACTTGCAGGAATAAAGATTCTTACTCAGACAGCAAGACCGACAGGCAGCAGCTCCGCCTGTCATGTGCTCAATCTGGACGAATCACTAAGGTTTCAATTTCACCTTTTAATCCTGGGAAGCTTAGTCCTACATGGGGAGGGATGGTCATTTCACATCATCTGAAAGGCTCCCTGTTACCGCACCAATTTTTGTCGTGTGAGAAGACATTGCAGAGTGCCTTTCTTTTCTGTTAGCGGAGCTCCAGAAGTTGACCTGACATGGAGAGCAGGTGGTGGGTGGTCCTGTCTATCGGCCGTGGGTAGCCATGCCGGCTCCCTGCACTTGCTGTCCCTTAGGGAACTGGCCCTCTCTCCTCACTTCCGAGGCCATTTTTAAAGCATCACCAAGGCCCTCTTGCTGTACTCACCCATAAGGATATCTGTTCTGAGCTGTGACGAGTCTCGCTTGGCACCAGTGTGTCAGAAGACTGCTGAGTCGCCAACTTGGCACCCAGCTCATGCTAGAGACGAGACCCGTGTCAGAAACAGCTGGAGGGGAGACAGCCCTGGTTCTTTAGCATGTACACAAAATAGCACTGGGATCCATGTTTGAAGAGGCTGTGAGTGAAGACAGCATCCGTTTTGTTTTGTTTTGTTTGTTTTGTTTTGTTTTTAAATCTGACTTCTTATGGCTATGAAATGCTGGAATAAGTGAGATCCATTTTTGAAACTCCATGACTCTCCTAAACATATATGCAGTGAGAATGTTATCACTGTACAAGCACCTAGGGGATTATGAAATTACTTCATTACTGTCACCCGGCCTGCTAGCCCCACTAACTGGAGGGGTTCCCTGCGACACTGGGGGCTCTCGGTGCACGCTTGTAATCGTGAGGCTTAGGACAGCTGTCGGGCATGGGGGTCAGAAGAATGGCCTGTGAGGCCCTGTGAGGCCCTGTCGCAGAGGCATGGTCGCGGGGCTGCTGTTACAACGGGGCCCTCTACTCTGACGAGGGTGCTCTTCTCCCCAGCAGAGGGGAGATGGCCCTGGGACACATGCACTTGTTCTTGAGTTAGAAAGTAAGTGGATCAGCCTTCATCTCACATCAACCACCCTTCTGCCTGCCCTGCATCAGAGAGGAAGACTCATTATCGCCAGGAGACAGGTTACTATGCCAAATCCTTGACTAGGCCATGGATGATAAAGTCAGTAGACTCCGAGGAAACTACAGCCAAAGAGGTTAGGTAACAGACAGGAGTGCAGCCACTGCTATGGGAGACATTTCTGGGAAACGTCAACTGGCTCTGCCGTAAACTAAAGTAATTTGCTGAGGTTCCAGTTCCCTTTGTCTGTTCAGGACCTGGTGCGCATCTTTATCAAATAAAGGGTGAGTTTCTATTAAACAGGAGTTCATTTGTCCTGAATTTTAGATGATGGAAAACATCCTTTAGAAAATTACGATGAGCACTGAAAAGCACGTTACTCCATGGTAATTTACAGTTTACCAGCAGAGAAAGAAAAATTCTGTCTCGTGAAGGTTAGTCTTCTGTTTTCAGAAGCCCTTCGATTTTTCTTTTAGAACTCAGCCAGTTATGCAGATAACTCACAATTCTAGTCTCCTGTGTGTTGAAAATGGTATACTCCTCACATACCCTTTTTGAGGTTTAATTTTCTCACAGAAACCTGGTTGAGAAAGGCTGAGTGGTTGATTCCATAACTTGGAGATGTTTCTTAGACGTTTGCATTCTTGGTACACCCTGGAAATTTCTTGAGTATAGGTTTTAAAGGTTTGCGTACATTTCTGACAAGGTCTTAAATGCAATCATGTCATTCATCTGGGAATGAAATGATCTTTATATGTTTTTTGAAACTAAATGACATTTATTTCTACATCATAAAAAAATAATAAAACAAACAAAAAACCCTTGTCCCATTTTAGCGGGTAGTTCTGGTCACTTATCTTACTCTTAGTTCAAACCTACCTTAACCGAGTACTCTTCTGCCTCTGACCTTTGGCAGACAGTGGTGACAGAAGTGACAGCTTATTCTGTTCACCTAAGCCTTACTGATATTTGCTCACTTTTAACTGTGAAAAGATAGCTTTTGATGAATCCAAGAATATAAAACAACAGGACTTGCTTTTGTCGTGTCTTCCTGATTGTATTCTTCCTATTACAATAATAAAATTAACTGTAAATGCAAGTTCCTAACAATAAAAACATGCTGGTAAGCTTTTTCAAAGCAATGATTAGTCACATAGCAAGATGACAGCGATGGATGACATTGGGCAGGAACCAGTCTGATCTTTCGATATCCAGCTATCCCTTACTTGTCTTTTGTGAAACACTTTATTGAACACCGAGCATGTGCTGGGTATGGTGCTGGCTCCACCTGAGCCATGAACAAGGTGGCTGTGGTGTCTGATCTGTGGAGTTCTAGCTGAGGATCCTAACAAGAATGAAGCAGGCAAGAATGAAATAGAAGAAAGTGGGATTATTTTGTAACCCTTCTAGGTCTTCTTCCTCTGCCATAACACACACACACACACACACACACACTCTCTCTCTCTCTCTCTCTCTCTCTCTCACTCTCTGTCTCTCTTCCTCCCTCTCCCTCTCTCTCTCTCACACGCGCATGAGTATAGGTTTTAAAGGTTTGCGTACATTTCTGACAAGGTCTTAAATGCAATCATGTCATTCATCTGGGAATGAAATGATCTTTATATGTTTTTTGAAACTAAATGACATTTATTTCTACATCATAAAAAAATAATAAAACAAACAAAAAACCCTTGTCCCATTTTAGCGGGTAGTTCTGGTCACTTATCTTACTCTTAGTTCAAACCTACCTTAACCGAGTACTCTTCTGCCTCTGACCTTTGGCAGACAGTGGTGACAGAAGTGACAGCTTATTCTGTTCACCTAAGCCTTACTGATATTTGCTCACTTTTAACTGTGAAAAGATAGCTTTTGATGAATCCAAGAATATAAAACAACAGGACTTGCTTTTGTCGTGTCTTCCTGATTGTATTCTTCCTATTACAATAATAAAATTAACTGTAAATGCAAGTTCCTAACAATAAAAACATGCTGGTAAGCTTTTTCAAAGCAATGATTAGTCACATAGCAAGATGACAGCGATGGATGACATTGGGCAGGAACCAGTCTGATCTTTCGATATCCAGCTATCCCTTACTTGTCTTTTGTGAAACACTTTATTGAACACCGAGCATGTGCTGGGTATGGTGCTGGCTCCACCTGAGCCATGAACAAGGTGGCTGTGGTGTCTGATCTGTGGAGTTCTAGCTGAGGATCCTAACAAGAATGAAGCAGGCAAGAATGAAATAGAAGAAAGTGGGATTATTTTGTAACCCTTCTAGGTCTTCTTTGCCATAACACACACACACACACACACACACACTCTCTCTCTCTCTCTCTCTCTCTCTCTCACTCTCTGTCTCTCTTCCTCCCTCTCCCTCTCTCTCTCTCACACGCGCACACACACACAATTAAAGTACTGCCCTAAGGGTCTTAAGTTGAAGATGTGTATTTCTAGAAAGACCAAAGGATCATATTACTTAAACTTAGTTTTTCTGGGCTCATTTTGTAACTGAACTAAAATGAGCCATTGCAAGTCTTGACAATGTGGTGTCCGAAATAAGTGCCAATGATTCGTCCTCTGTATGTGCAGTGCAGCTTCAGCTTTCTTTCTGATACTGTCACTTGATCCCCAGAAGCACAGACTCCTGTGTGGCTGACAAAGTTCCACTGCAAGTGCAACGGAAAGCACCCGTCCTTCCATGGATGAGTCTATCTCCTCCCAGTCCTCGGCGGGAAGGAATCTTGCTAATCTTAGAAGCAACTACACACATTTTTACTTAATTAAAATGAGTCTCCTTTTAACTGCTTAATATAAAGGACAATTTGCATCTAAGTCTAAGAAACCATTTCTTTCCCTTTAAAAGAAATTTGGGAACACCCTTAATAGAAGCCAATGACAACAGATTTCTGTCCACTGGCCTATAGTCTGTCCAACCTTAATTACAATCTCTGACAATGAAAAACAACCTCAGGGTTTCTCAGCAATAAGGACAGTGAGAAATGGTCACCTCTGCAGCCAGAAATGCTGAAATTGGAGCCCTGCAGAGCTTATCTGGGGGACGTAAACGTTTCTGAGATAGCTGACCCAAAAGGCAGCCTGTGCTGCTCCGCAGTTTTGAGGAGAGACTGTACCATCAAGAGACCGGGAAGAACCCCGGTTGCTGAGTGCTTGGCGTCGTCAACCAGGGAGTCAGCAATGGCAGGGAGGTCACCTTGGGCCGATGAACTGGTTCTCCAAGAACCTTACTGATTATGCTGTTCACTGATGATCTAAAATGTGTTGAGACTTGCAGTCAGCCACCTGGAGTGATGAAGCAAAATCCCCGTTCATTCATTCTCCAGTGCTCACTGTCCCAGGCTGGCAGTGGAGGCGAAAGAGAGTGAACGCTGCTCTCATTAGTCAGCCAAGGGGACAGCTGCTGTTCAGCCTCAGCCTCTCTTCTGTCATCTCGGAAATAAACCGTGACTCACTGTGTCCATCGTAAAGCCAAACCTCCCTCCACTGTCCTCACTGTGTCCTTCCCTTCCACACACACTGCCCGTTCCAATGCCTTAGACGAGTGGACAGCTGGGCCGTCGGGCCCTGGAGGGGGCTGGCCCCACTCACCCGCCTGTCCGGTCGTGTGCATCCATGGGGCATGAGCCTGCAGCTCTGTGAACTAATGCCTGTGTTCTCCCCGCTCTCTCCTTTGTCCCCGCAGCGCCATGGCCACTTACTCTGCCACATGTGCCGACACTGGCCCTGCCCAGGGCATCAGCATGGCCAACAGCATTGCAAACTTGAGACTGAAGGCCAAGGAGTATAGTTTACAGAGGAGCCAGGTGCCAACAGTCAACTGAGGAAAACATGACTAACAGGCCTGAGAAGAAACCAAACCTTAAGACACCCATCCCGCTCTGCCGTTCCTTCATCTGCTGAAAAAAAGTAAAAACAAATAAACAAACAAATAAACACACAAAAAACCAGCACTAAATGTTGGGACCATGGCAGAGCGAAGCAGGAGAGGAGCAGGATGAAAATTAGTTACGCGTTCCTCCTCCTCTGGGACAGCACTTCCACTTGTTTCTCTGTGTGTTTATTTCGTTTTCCCTCCTATTCACGCTCTGCTTCATGTATTCCGAGCTTCTTCACTTAGGCCCAGTCCACCCACCCCCAAGACTGTTGAGGCTTTTAAAACATCCCAGCAGCCCAGGAAACCAAGTGCTCAGAGTGATGGCCTCGCCTCACCAAGCTACCTGAGCCCGTGCTGCCCTGCCCTTTCCCCACTCCTCTGGGAGAAAGGCCAGGAGCTTTGGAAAAGCCCACATGTTCCTGCAGAGTCTGTTCCAGACGTGATTATCTTTCTCCTTGTCTTCATCTGTGTTGCTCGTGGTAAGGTTTTTCCATCAGCTCCTGGGGGAAAGACAAATAGTTGTGTACGATATCTGATCACTAGCCTGTCTGGCTCGATGTACTTGTCTGTGTCCGGCTAAGGCTAAGCTCCAAGCTGGAGAGCTGAGCACTGAGCTATAGAGGCTGTGTCCCGGTCAGTATCACCCCTCACCCCTGTCCAAGCCACCAGCCATCCAAGTGAAAGATATTTGTTATCTTTGCATTATTCACTGTCATAGGCTTTTTGATAGAAGAAATATTTTTCACTTGTGAGAGGAAGAGCCATTTCTCTAGAAAAACAAAGACTGCACTGTGACAGGTCTGGTCTACATCTCTTTGGTGCCTTAAGGGTTGTCTCATGCACACTTATATATATACTGTATATATTGATATATTTTATATATATATAAAATATTGCAAGCTGGAGTTTGCAGTTCCTCAAACACCACAGAAAGTAAAGTTCACATCCTCATCACAGTCCTTATCGCTACAGTGACGAGACATTAATTAGGGATCTCGCTTTTTTTCTTTCCTTTTTTTTACACAGGATTCTCATTAAGGCTGCAGAACAATTGCTGGGGCAGCTGTTTGAGAACAGGTCTCATTTCACATTAGGGTCTTCAATGAATCAGAAACTGTTTGAGGCGGTCCAAATGTCCTTTAGTGTGGAATGCTGATACCTCCTGATCTGTCATGGGCATTACTCTGAGAGAGGAGCGAAAGCCAGTCACCTTCCCCTCTCCACTCAGCAGGGACCTGCAAGTGGAACACTGGAAGGATTGTCTAAATTTCAAAAATTTAAAATGCAATTGTAGGCTATTTTTATTTTATTTTATTGTTTCATATTTTGAGAAGAAGTTTAGTGTCTACAGCTGGGAGCCAGGACTGATCTTTCCTTGTCTCTTCCTCTTTGATTACAGCCATGCTTTTGTAACTTGCCAGGTGGACTCAACCAAACAGCATTACCATCAGTGCCTTAGTGTACCTGTTTATAAAGTGGGTACGATATTTACCTACCTCACAGGGGTGTTGTGAGGCTCTATTCATTTCCTCCCCAATTCTTCCCTGTGTTCTCTGTGGGTCCAGCACTTTGGACATGGGAGGAAAGGGACCATCAAAGTGTACCATGTTAATGGAATGATGCGGTACCTGAAATCTTGTTTTCTGGCAAGGAAAGGCTACCTTGCTGTACATCCTTATAACCTTGCATTTGCAAATGAGAAATAGGTTTATATTTTTGGATCTCTCAAAAATCACATCATTGACCAAAGAACAATTTAAGTCATGCAAAACAGACATATTTTAAACTTATATTCTTAATCAGCTTGGTCTTAGTAATTCTGGTTATCAATAGTTAAGAAAAACTGATTTTAAACAACTATACCAACTTTGTACTGTGAGTGACACACAAAGAATTTTGGGTTTAGGAAGCATTTCTAGCATATCAGTTTGAGCTAATTCTGACATTTTTCAAACTAGCAATCACCAATCTGAAATACATTTCAAATGTCGAAATATACTTCTTTCAATAATAAGAAGGAAGTTCATCCAATGCATTTTGCTTTGACCAGTGAATTCTCTCTTCCTTTAACTTGCTACTAGAGCGTTTTGTACTGAATGGCTCCTGTCGGCTGCCTGGGCAACGCACATCATGACACAAGATCTCTGCTCATTCTCTTGTCCCACTGGTTGCTGGGGATTATCGAGTTCCAGAGGAATGTACAGCCTAATAGACTGAACCCTTCTTCAGTTTGTGTCATCAAATAGATGAGTGAACTTTGCGAGTTTGGGGTTTGGGAGGGTTGAAAGACGATTTGGGTTATAGGCAGGGGACAGAAATTACACCTGAAAAAGTTTCGCTAAGAGGAGGAGAATTTAAGAAGAGGGAGCAGAGAGAGAGAAGGACATGTGAAAGTCATCTGAACACTTCCATCTAGAGACCTATTTTCAGTGGCAAACAGAACCCATAAACCCAAATGGTGGGTGAAACGGGGTGCTTTTATTTCATGCCTTGGGCAAGCAATGTCTGGGAACATCATAGAGTAACCAGTTCCTGTCGGTCACAGGAAGATTCATGGCTAGTGAACAGATATTGCGATCATCTGTTATCTAAGCACCCGATCAAGAAATATGCACATAGTAAGTACCAGCACTCAGCTTTGTCCATTTCATACTGATTTTTAAAAAATCCAAGTTTGATGTATGATTTGGAGGAGCCTCGGGGCCACAAACTGCAAGGCAGATCCTGTTCCTTGCTATCATTATGCCCAGACACAGATGAATACAGAGGAACTCTGTGTCCCCAACTCCTCCCCAAACAAGATACTGATGTGTAGGGTACTTGGCAGGTTAAATTAAACCAGCAGCGGTGCCCTGATCTAAAAGGGAATGGCATTTAGGTTATAAAGAGCTCATAAGAAATGTAATATGTAAATTATATCTGGCTTTGTGATGTAAAATATACATTGTTTGCACTAGAATAGAAATGATTCCTTTTCAATAAAAAGAAAAAAGGATATGGTAAGGTCTTGTTATATACATTTGCGTATGATGGTTCTTTTCTCTTTGAACTTCAAAAACTCAGTTCTGCTAGGATCTGAGATTCTATTCGGGAGAGTAAAGGTTAAAAAAGGCTTATAAACAAGGGAAATTGTTGCAAGGTGTGGTATTTTCTACAAAAAAGAAAATAATCTATTGCTCCTTAAAGACAGTGACTAAGTGGACACTTCTTAGTACAATGGCCAAGGGTAGGGTGGGACTCTTAGGAGAACTAGCGATTTTTTATGAATACCACAACAGCGACAAAAGACTTCATATAAAGCACAGCTGTTTTATTCTGGGATAGGGAATAGCAAAATAAAACTCATTAAGCACTCAATGTACTTAGCTTGGGTTGTGGTAATGGGGAGAACAGAAAAAAAACAAATTGTAAGACATGAGTTCTGTTTTCATGCCAGTTAAAATCTGGTTTAAAAGGGAACTCAGACATGAAAAAATCTATGCAATAGTTCAAGAGAATGAAGGGATGAATGTCAGACAAATGGAGCAGCCAGAGGAGTCCAGAGGAGGAGGAAAGGAAGCACTGAACTGGAGTGGGAGAGGATTTATGGAAGAACTGGGACTGGATTCCCCTCAGCAAGGATTTGGGCAGGTGCCCAGGAGTTGACAGTCTTTCAGTGGAGGAGTAGAGAAGAAGGGATGACGTTCAGGGTGCAGGAATGAGAAGTCTGTGTTTAAGGAGCCATGACGAGATGGGTCTGGACGAGACAGTTCATCTGAAAACACCGTGGAAGCCAACAGTAGCGATTAAAGTTGGGCCTGACTGTTGCTGGGCATTATGTGTCGGACAAAGGAGTCTGAGCCTTTCCTCAGACCACAGAGGTTCATTGAAGATTTTTAAGCAGAAAAACAATTCCATGAAAGTGAAATGCTACTTGAGCAGGGTTGTTCTGGTACATGAATGGAGCAGACCAGGACTGAAAGCAGATCAGGTAGAGGCTGCTGCAGAGGAACACAAGCAAATGATGAACAGGAAGTGCCCACCCAGGAGACACTCAACAGGCCTTGATGGAAGAAAATGGAAGATGTAGTCAAAGACAATACCTGGGACTGGGAGAATGAGTCACAAAACTGACGCAGTTACAGGAGAAGATAACTGCCATTTTGGTTGTATCATCGAGCCTGACAACCCAAATGTAGGCACACAGCAATAAAGACATGGATTCAGGGCATGGAAGCAAGGCAGAGGATGGAGGGGAAAGTCTGAGATTGCTTTTTAAGGATGTAGCATTCCAAGGTACAAGAATGCATGGGTTCTTCAAGATATGAGTGTCTTTGTTTTGTTTTGTTTTTGGAGAGGTTTTTGCTATAGGGTGCGTGCGCTCGCCAGACAGAGAGAGAGAAACAGAGACAGAAAGCGAGAAATCACCCCCTAGGGGGGATGGTCACCCTGCAATCCCTTCTCCTCCATTCTCCTCTTGGGATCTTGGGCATGCACGCACACATGCCCGGGCGTGAGTTTTAAGCCACCGGGTCCGGGTCGCGAACCGCCGTTGACTACGTGGGAGCACAGCGACATAGCCATTACGCTAACTGCTGGTTCCCAAGATGTGAGTGTCTTTGTGACTCAAGTAATTATTTCCGATAAATAACTTTTGGAAGTTATTTCAGCCAGGAAGATTGGACTTTAAAGAACATTTACAACGAGAGAGAGAGAGCTACTGAAGTCAACCGAAAAGGAGCCATTTGCGAGATGGAAGAAGAATCAAGTTTATTTATTATCTCATAGTTGAGGAGGGCTTTCAAAAAGAAGGGAGTATTGGGAACCAGCAGTTAGCGTAATGGCTATGTCGCTGGACTCCCACGTAGTTGACCGTGGTTCACATCCCGGACCCGGTGGCTTAAAATTCACACTGGGTGTGTGCGCATGCGTGCCCAAGATCCCGAGAGGAGAATGGACGAGAAAGGATTGCGTCATGACCATCCCCCTGGGGGGTGATTTCTCGTTTTCTGTCTCTGTCTCTCTCTGTCTGTCTGGCGAGCGCACGCACCCTATAGCAAAAACCTCTCAAAAAAAAAAAAAAGGGAGTATTTGATATTCTCTAATACTATAAGGGTAGACCAACTAATAGGGGCTGGAGGAAAGGTCATTGGATGGTGACTCTCAGAAGTACAGTTTAGTTGAATGCTGGAGCAAGAAATAAGTCTTGGAAAGAACAAATGCTTTTAAAAAATAAAACAGTGGCTATCGACCACTTGCTTGGCATTATAAGCTTCTCGATAAGGATTTTTTCAGTTGCACATAGCAGAGACCTATCAAACTGGTAGAATTACAAAAAGACTCATTGGCAGATAGCTCTCCCAGCCCAGGAGACGCAAGCCAGTCAGCTCCAGGAGCCTAACCCTGGACTGAAGCCCACGTTGTCTCAGCTCGGCTGCAGTAACAGGATGCCAACCACGGGATGGCTTACACAACGGTTCAGTTCTTACAGCTCTGGAGGTGGACTTACGAGCTCAGCAAGGAGGCATAGTCAGTGTCTAGTGAGGCCTCTTTCTGGGAAGGCCATCCTTGCAAAGTAGCCTCCCAGGGCAGAGTGAGCTCTGGTCTCTTCCTCTTATGAAGACCCTAACCCCACCATGGGGACTCCACCTTCACAACCTCATCTAAACCTGACTCCTAGATGCCCCACGTCCTAATACTATCCCATTGGGTGTTGGGGTTTCCACAGGCAACTTTCAGGGGTACGCAGACATGAAGCCCTACCTTAGACTGGGTAAAGCGTGCCCTGAGCCCACCCGCCCTCCTCTGACGGTGCCCCTCCCCTGAGCAGAGTCTCAGGGCCATCTGATGTGCCACGAGGCACCTGCACTTCTAGATCTAGAGCTCACTTTAGGCCCTTGAGACTTGGAACTCCCTGCCTCCTTTTAGGGCCTGCACAGGCATCTTCTCCTGGTTCACATCACTGAGGCATGGCCAAGAGGTCACCACTGATAGGGGTAGAGATGAGCAGAGGACTCTGGGCTATGCATGCCACAGTTGTCACCCCCCCCCCACACACACACACGTGGTCGCTTTTGGTGCAAGATGGAGCCTTGGACAGAAGAGCAGTGGGCAGGTCACAGGCTGACCTAGGGCCCCACCTTCTTTGCACTGTCCTCTTCTCAAGAGATACTCCAAGTGGCCTGAGAATTCTGGCAGCAAACCGGGCTTTCCAGCTCATTACGGAGGTGCATATGTTAAATCAGGAGTAGCCCGTAATGTGTCTCCCAGCTCGTTAGCTTGACTTACAAGATCCAGACCTAAACGTGCAGGCAGTGGGACTTGGAAAGGCCTCAGAATCCAGGGTTCTCTTTTTATTTCTGTTTTCACCTTTTACTTCTCTCTTATCTTCAGTTTGTCCAACCAACCAGTCTTTCAGCAGACAGGAAACACTACAAGTAGCAGCTTTAGCTTCATATTCTTACAGGGTGCAGGCTCTTCCATGCTAGTTCTAAGCAGAATGACCCAGAAGATGTCTGACTGGGTCGGAACCCGTGGCCTTTCTCAGTCATTGTGCTGACTAGTCACTGTGTTGACCTGCTTGGCAGACACTTCCCGTGGGACACTGCGACAACCATGGAGGTGGCCGGGAGGTTAGTACAGCCCCAACAAGAGTAAACACGATGGCTAGATGGGCTGGGCTGCTGGCTCCACACTCCATGCCCAGCTTCCAGCATGTGCACCCCCAACTCCCCCCTCATGGAGCTGTGGTCTAATGCAACTCCCTACAGAACTCACCAGGGACTTGGAGGTATAAGGGGCTTCCAGTCAGTTCTATAGGTGGGTTCTTATGATTCTGCAATCATAACTAAAGTCCTATCTTAATCACCCCTAATGGGTGTGGTGAGGAGAGACTAACACCAAGAAAACTGCCCTTCGAGGGAAAGTGGAGGGAAAATTCCACACCCTCCTGGGGAACCTGGCGTGCTGAGGCCTTTCCAAGTCCACTGTCTGGGGTATGAAAATGCCAGGACACTGAGGACTTGCTTCCTTGACAACAAAGTCTATCCTCTGCCCCCACTTCTGTCTACTTCAGCCTTTGCTCTGAGACCATGGCCAGGCCTTGGCGAAGGCTCCCCGAGAACAACACTGCTCTAATGTCCCTATGGGCGAGTGAGATGCACCTTCTGATGACCTGGCTGGGGTGCCTTTTGATTCACATTCCAGGGACTCCTTATCTAGAGCCAGGGATCTTCCTGAGTCACAGTTCTTTCTTTCTTTTTTTAGAGATATTTTTTTCTATAGGTTCCATGCCTCACCAGAGAGACAGAGAGACAGGAGGGACAGAAGCGAGAAGTAGTCCCCCAGGGCAGAGGTGATGCCACAGTCCCTTCTCCTCTGTTCTCATCTTGGGATTTTGAGCACGCACGCACACACACCAGGTGGAGCCACAGTTCTTGAATCTGCATCCATCCCGCCCCCAAGCTTCTCCACAGGACTCAGACCTGCTCAGCCCTCCGACCTCACTCAAAGCTTCATCTAGCCAGAACACACGGGCTAATGTACCCAGCCCAGGCGGCATCCCAGCAGAGGCCGATTGACGGCAGGTGGGCTGGAGGTGCCGATGTACCAGGCCTGTGGGCAGTTGGCCACAGCAGAGAGGTCAGAGAAGAGCCTGGAAAATCCTCCTAGTCTTTCCTCCTGTCCCTTTTAAGCCACAGCACTTCCCTCTGTGCTTTAAACACCTTGCTTTGCTTGAGAAGAAGAAAATGCTTTTGTGATTTGGCAGATTCTGACCCTCAAGGTCTTGGAGAGTTGGTGGTGGGGTGAGACCCCAGGACTTTGATCCCAAGGCCTGCAATTAGTCACATTCCAGTTTATCCCTTAGCATCCTCATTTCAGGCCAAGTGGCAGAAACCCACATGATTAGGTTAAGGGGATTTAACCAAGGATTTTTTAGAGTAGAAGGAAGAGCTACAGGGGCCAGCAGATGGCATAGCAGTTATGTTGCTGGACGCCCATGTGGCCAGCTGCAGTTTGAGTCCCAGACCTGGT